ACACCAGTTGTTGGCTGGTGTGTTTGCTAAATTGGTGCAATCTAGGCCATCAATTTCTATTTGTGAAAGTCGATGATTTGAAAACTGACTGTCTGGGTAGCGTCACATTGAACACACCAGCCACACTCTAGGCCATGCTTCTTCATCTGTGTGTGTGCACACCACACCTTTATCCTAAAATTATGGGATCCGCTACATTAATCCTATTTTTCAGTTTGTTAAGCGTCATCCCACCATAAAATTAAATTTATCGTTACCATATCCTTCCTACTTGCAACCAACCAAGTTCTGTTAGGCTGACCTCTAGTCCTCTTGGCCCATTAACCATATATTCTTATCACTTATCCTAACTAGTGCATTAAGTTCCTCACACACACATCTGACGTACATACATATATGGGAAAATGGGTATGACGTGGCAGCAAATTTTTTTAAATGAGCTATCGAAATATAGCCTAGTGGTAAAGTCACCCTACTAGTCACATTGGAACATGCGATTCTCAGCGCCTTTATATCTTAGTAGCTTATTTTGCTAAATGAGAAAGCAGCTCTCCCTTCCTCCATACACATACGACCACCTTTGAAGGATTTTGATACTCTCCATTGACTCAGAATGCCTAAAAGGGCATTTCTGCTCTTGCCTCAAGCAACATCAAAATGGTTGGTTGGGCTCAAAGCTTTTAAATTGCTTAGATCATGATACAGAGTTTTGATTTTTAATTTGCATGTTTTTAACCATAAATCAAACCATGTTTTCTCATTCATTTTTTGTTCCCATTCATTTTGTGCCTACTTAATGTATGGCAAGAAAACTAAAGGAGCCTTGAGTCTATACATCTTAGCACTATGAGTATGTTGAACAACTTGATAGGAGTTTACTTTTATACTTGAATGAGAAAGACATCTCACACAGATCTGGCTGCATCCTTGTATCCTACTTCAGAATTTGCAGTGTTGGCATATGCATGTTGTATCGTGTTCATACCCTAGTCAGTATGTGCAGTTAGTAGAATAAAGCTCTAATTTGTATTGAAAAAATAAATTATCCTAAAGCTATTTGGCTTCCAGTAAGAAGAGTTTGATCATAAAATCTTACCAGAGTAAATAAACACATCAAAAAAAAAAAGAAATAATAACATAAGAAAAGGTACAAAAAATCTCTTTCAGTAACCCAACATACAAGTGTTGTTGGTGAGAAAAATGTATTCGGATCTTTTCTGGCATAATGTCGATCAAGTAACTTTTTGATGTGGTCTTGCATAGTGGCATCTGTTCCAATGCCTGCCTGTGAAAGTGGTTATGCATCAGGAATTTAACCATGGATCATTTACAAATCAAAAGAAAGAACTTTTAAGAATACTGACTTATCAATTATACATCTTTTATAGTGGGATTCCATACAAAAATACTAATATTACAGCATAATTTCTTACCTTATCCATACAGCCAATCAGATCAGCTTCTTTCAAGAGAGGAGGTGGCCTTGTCAACCCTGAATCAAGTGTTAGCGTCGTCGGGAGAAACTGCACCATTTCCAAGAATCAATTTATGAGATTATTTAATATTACATGATAAATTTACAAATCCAACATATGACCAAGGTATACATGTACCAGTGTGTTTTATTAGATTAATTTAAAACTATTAACAACAGAAACATCTCTTCAATGTCATATTGTTAATTAACACATGTGAAACGAGAGTCAAAAAGGATAAAGAATGTAGTTGCCCACATATTAAAATTGATAGGGAAAATTTAACAAATAAAAACACTGTGATATTTATAGTATAAAATAAGTGAAGAATTATAATGGGTGTAGGATTATGTTAAGGCATCCAAAACAAACATGACGTTGAGCGTAACAATGTAAATTAGCAAACCAGCTTCTCCACATGATAATGAATCTGAGACTGAAAAACTCTGGACTCAAACTCGCTCTGAGGTTCAGATAACAAATAAAGCTTGATCTTAAAGTCAATCAAATAATGTTCATGCTCCAATATCAATCAGGGCATGGATATAAGAATTAATTAATTGTAAAACAGAAGGAATAAAGAGAGTGGAATTGTTTCCACTGACTAAGCAACATAGCACAGAAACATAAAAGCCATAAAAAAATTCAAATACAATAGACAAATTTGATTTTGCAGAATAACATAAAAGTTCAAGGGCTCAACCCGTGAATAAATAGAAAGATAACCTGTTGTCCAAGAACATAAGCTGGAATCACAGAAGCACCCCATGAATCATATTTATAAACATCCAGATAATTTTTCTGCAAAACACAAAAATTAAATATGTTAAACAATCAGAAAAACATTACGTCAACTCATAAATAGACAACTAAAGGCTTGTTTAGTATTTTAAAGCCCCTTACACAACATCGAAACTTCAAAGCTATGGTGAAAATTGAGTTATAATTTTATACTACATGCCCTTAAAGGTCAAGAAACCTAATGGGCCAAAATTTAAACTTGTTTCCACAATACTTTTTAAACCCACTTCAAATGCAGCACGTAGGATTTGAATCTGATTGCTCATAGATCATCTTACACATCAAAACTCAAAAGTTATGATGAGAGTTGAAGCGAGCTCAATTGTATGAAACTCCATTTGAAACAACTTTCCAAAATGCAGAGATCTTTAAATTGAAATCAACAAGTCTTGTTTGGATGCCACATTAACTCAAGGCACCTGAATTACCATACAATAAATTTTATAATAACGAGACATGCTTGACTTATAAAAAAGAGGTCAAGAGACTCAAGACGTCCTTTTTATGATTCAGATGATTGGACCACCTTAACTTAGGCCGTATTTCACGTTATCATCCTTAATTACTCAAGTTTCAGAAAACCGCCCCTACATGCATTTCCATCCAATTTTCCATCCAAAAAATTATACTTTGAGAATTTCACCCCTATATAGGTTTAACTTGTTGAACTTTGGGTATCAAAGTTAAATTTTGTTGCACTTTGAGTGTCAAAGTAAAATTATTTTAAACTTTGGATATCAAAATTAAATTTTAGTGAAATTTTCAGGGTATCAAGAGTATATTTTGTTGAACTAATTTTTTGGGCAAAAAATAATTTTGTCGTATAAAAATGAAAAATGAAGTATACTCTGAGGTATTTTTGGGCAAAAACATGTGGTATCAAAGTTAAAATAATAAATAATTTGGGCTATTTGACTTTAATATCCGAAGTTCAACAAAATTAGACCTGCGTAAGGGTAAAACCATCAAACTATATCTTTTTGGATGGAAAATTGGATGAAAAAGTGCATGCATAGTTCCACGTTAACGGAATAGTAGATTGGGTTTGTTTTTTTGAAAAGTGAGTAATTACGGGCAGTAACGTAAAATAGGGCCTAAATTAGAGGTGATTCCCTGAAAGACCCTTTATTATATTGCAACTTTTAGTATTTTAGTCAAAATTTGTCACCCAAAAGAGTCCTTCTCATTCCTCTGACAGTAGGTTTAGCTCATGCTTGATACTTCCTTTCATTTGGAGCTTGTCGGATCAAATCTCCCCATACCAAGTAAGCATAAAGTTTTTGAATGAAACTATAGGCTGCATTATTTTGCAAGCTTATTATGCAGCAATTTGGCATCATGATGCATGAAGAGACTTCTCGATGAGGTTTGCTTCAAGGACTATTTCTCCCTTTATGTCACACCAGAATCCAAATGCAGAATAGGAGGACCAGAAACAAATAGTTATCCTTTTCAAATATTTCTTTCTCCCTATATTTTGCTGGAATAAGATCATTTTCTTCCTCATGGGAGCACCTTTGTGTGTCCCTCTCCCCTTTCCTTTGCAATCTTCCTATTCATTTATAATAATCTACGCCTACAACGCTTTATATAAAAAAAATTAGTTATGGTCACATATATTGCATGTGTTAAGGCCATGATGTTAGGAATCTAACCATTTGCTAGCGTGGAGTTAAAAGAAAATTCCAACAACTCAAGAAAGCTCATGGGTAGTTTTTAAAAGATAAAGCATTAACTTCTTTTCTCTTCTAAATATCATCCATACATGTACCAAAAAACTTCACAAGCAGAATCTTAAATAATTTAAATCGGTAAAAAAAATGTAAATTTTTTATTCAAAGTATTTGAAAGTATTAAGACATATGCTTCATGGAATATGTTTCAATCAAAAAGGAACAAAAGAGGGAAAGTAAAAAGAGCTTGAAAAGTAATCAACATATCTTATATTTACTTCTCATATTTGAGACCTCCATGTTACAGGTTGCTTCTATTGAAGATTAAATGATAGAATTTTTTGAGATAGTTTGGTCAAGTGCAATAGAAACCATAAAATGCACCCAATGGCAGAAGTAGGGGAAGTGTATCCATATTCGAGGAAATATCTATAACCGTATCTGTTAGGATATGGATATGGTTACTCAAATCTATAACTAATAGGATATGGTTATGGATATAATTTTGTAGTGAATACATATTGGTTATACCGTTGCAATAGTTTTAATCCATAGATTAACAAATTTGAGGTTAATTTTGATGATCAAGATGTCTAATCTTAGCTTTTCAGATATAACGAACATGCTACTGAACTCTTTTGCATCACATAAACTATATTTTTTCTAATATTATCTAGTTTTCTCATATCCATTTTACATCTACATGCATATCCGCTTATATATCCGCATGTATATCTGTATCTGTACATGATTTTAGCAGATATGGATATGATTTTTCCTTACCAAGATATACATGTCTCTGTATCCATGATGGATAAGTAGAAATGGATATAGTAAGTGTCATATCTGAGCTGTATCTAGATCGAATGCACCTCCAAGCAGAAGTGATAATATTATAATTAATAGAGAAATGAGGACTAGAGGTAGGCCTCAAAGAATTTGGCTGAAAGCTGTTAAGAATGAATACATTATAAACATGGAGATGGCCCTCAATAGAACTGAATAACAAAGTAGGATTCATCCAGTCAACCCTAAAATTTTAGGATTAAGGCCTTTATGTTACTACTTACTGCCATCGTCGTCGTCGTTGTTATTTTTTAAATCTCCAGCTAGTATGATAATACTAGCCTACTGATTTGCATGACAAATAGATCAAATGAACTATTATTTTAGTTAGCTTTCTCTCATCAATTGAAATGAAACAAGTTAATTGAAATAGTTCGAATTTAATTTTTTAGGACAAATTTTTAAATTCTACTCATTTAGAAACTTAATTGCCAAAAACTACCTATTCCAATTTAATTGCCAAAATCGACCCAGTTTCAACCAGTTGGCTGAAACTGGGTCGATTTTGGGGAAAACTGTTGAAACTGGATCGATTTGGGGAAAACTACTGAAGTCCCGTGAAGTTTAAGCTTCGATAATGGGCTTGATTAGGGGCACCCAAAACTTCACGGGACTTGAAGTCACATGAAGTTACAGTCTTAATTTCTTTACGGGTCGTAAATAACAACGCGCTTAAACTTCACGGGACTTGAAGTCCCGTGAAGTTTCGTAAATTATTTCCCCAAAATCGATCTAGTTCAACCAATTAGCTGAAACTAGATCGATTTTGGCAATTAAATTGGAAATGGGTCGTTTTTGGTAATTAAGTTTCTAAATATGTCGAATTTGAAATTTTGTTCTTTTTTATCTAAGTATTGTACATACTCAGCAAGCTCAAACTCCACGTTTAATAGAGTTGATAAACCACATAAGATAAGTAACCAGTGAGGAAAGAAATTAACCTCGAATTTGGAACGAAGGTAGTTTCAGTTTAGCATTTTTTATTAATAAGACAAGAACAAATGAATTATCTCAAAAGAGAAACAAAAATGATAAATAAAAATGGAAGACATTAGCAAAGCATATTTCATATGCTTAAATTGGTTTGGAATGTCAAATTTCCCTTGGTCACTGTCAAAAATGGCCTTTATGCTCGAAAATATGATCTAATAGTACATATCATAGATCATAGTATGTACCTTAGCATCTCTACAAAATTGATTCAAATGCAACTTCATGATATTTACTGTAGTTCCTCTTGAAATTCAATCATGTTATTGTTAAGGAATATATTAGTATTAGTATAGTATTTTAGGAAAGGAGATTTTGGGATATGTTGATAGCAAGATATTAAGAATATAAAAAAGTGAATAAAAGAATATGTTGAGAATACATTTGGCATATTTCTAGAATATATATCACATGTTTCTATGTCAAACATATAATATAGTATATATATATATATATATATATATATATATATATATATACTATATATATACTATATATATATATATATATATATATACTATATATAATATATAATATTATGCAGCAAATGCTATAAAACTTGATACCAAACACAAATTTTGTGCCTTGTAGTGACGTAATTGTCATTCTCATCCACTCTTCAACCCATCGTGAATGTTGGCCCCATGTTATGGAAGGGTTATGAAAGACATCTTTTATATATATATATATATATATATATATATATATATATATATATATATATATATATATATATATATATAATATATATATATATATTATATATATATATATATATATTTAAGGTTTTAAAATATCGGATATCAGGCAAAAAATATCGATGGCCACAAAATTGCATATCGGATTGCGCAGATATCGGGCGGATAATATCGGGATATAGTACGGTAAATTATCGGAAAATAGCCATAATGGAATGTTTGATAACATAGCTACTAATGCTATTATAAATATAATCTCAACATATCGTAATAAAATTTAAGCATACAAAATATGAATAATGATACTATTTAGGATCACTAATCAACCTTCTAAAAAAAAAAGTTCAAAAAGCAAGCGTTTGAACCATTCGATCTGCTTTTTGGGCAAAATCTCTCTCTT